AGATGTGGCAGTGGAAGGTGTCAAAGCAGTTTGGAGAGAAAAACAAAGTCAAGAACAACAAACAAATAACAATTAATCGATTATTAAATTAGTCATCGATTATTTTAATAATCGATTAGTCGTCGATTAATCGACTAATCGTGGCAGMTCTAATACTAATACTAATAGTATGTAAATTTTCAGAGGTGTATGTTTAAAAATGGCTGAATTACCCTTAGCAAAAAGTAGTATACTTGAAGTTCATTTTATTAAGTATACTTGAGTTTAAGTATATCAAGTATACTAGGGCACTATGTACTTGCAGTGTACTAGAAAGTACACTGATTTAATACTTGTTTGTACTAAATTGGGATTTTTGTTTGTTTATAAAAAGTATACTTTAAGTATACTGTTATAATATCTCCCTAAGTTTATAAACTTACCAAACAGAAGTATACTTTAAGTACAAGTCATTAAGTATACTAAAGCACATGAAAGTGTATTTCCCTAAGTGTACTTTTATTTACCATGTACACTGATATAAGTATACTAACAGTTTACTAACAAGTATATGACTACATTGGCCCACAATAAGTTTATAAAAGTGTACTTAGAAGTATACTACAAGTAGTCTTCTAAGTATACCTTTAGTTTTATCTTGAAATATACTACAAATAAACCAGTCTGTGTGAAAAAATTACTTTCAATGTGCTACTAAAGTTTATCTTGGCCAAAGGTTTAAACATTGTAGACTAAGTATTCTTAAACGTTTTAGTACAAGCCAAGTATAGTGTAAGATAAACTTTGTTAAGTATATCTCAGATAAGTAAATACAAAATAAATTGGAAGTATACTCTTTTATTTTATACTTAATGAATACTTGCATATACTACTTTTTGCTAAGGTTTTAGCCCTTTATAAAATAAGCATTAGCATTATTGGTTGGCTTAGTTTAAGATTAGCATTAGCCATCTGCATATGATCATTTTTAGCTACTTAACAATAAATTTAATCCCAATAAGTCAAAATATGGCTGAAATATAATCTTTTAAAATTAGCTGTGGTGGCCATCTTGTGTTATTGATTGACATTTAGAATTTGGTAAATATTGGTTTTGGTACTTCCACACAAATCTTCAGATCATGATTTGTCTAAAAATGGCTGAATAATAAGTTGTGATTTACATTCAGTATGTTTTATTTATTTATTTATTTATCATTTTTAGCTACAGTCAAAGTTTTGGATCATTTTTTTTTCTTTTAAACAGATTAATTAAAGCCATTTGGCATAAGATGTGAAAACCATCTTGAATTTTCAAACCTAGTGGTCTTTTTTATACCCCGTATACCCCACTAAAAAACATGYTGACCTGTCTGTGCCACCCCTTACAAAAAAGCCTAGCTCCGCCCCTGTTTATTTCCCGCTTTTCTTTAATTCTGTTCCATTTTATGATCGATGCTTTGATCAACTTTCAGCACTCTATGCTGATTTTAACCATTACCAGTGCATCCTCAAAAATTTACCAAATACAGAAGGCACATGTGGTGTAGCATGTTTTAACGGCTGGATTTAATGATGTGTTTTGTGTTTTCAGGGTGTTTCTGGACTGTCTGATTAATCCTCTACAGGAGCAGATGGAGGAGTGGAAGAGAGTGGCCAACACGCTGGACAAAGATCACGCCAAAGGTTTCAAACCAACACTCTGTGTAAATGTGCACGCCGTTTGTGTGAACATATRAATATAAAAGTTTATGGAACTGGAAGCGTGTGTGTTTTTGTCTGCAGAGTATAAGAAAGCTCGCCAGGAGATCAAGAAGAGGTCGTCAGACACTCTGAAGCTGCAGAAAAAAGCAAAGAAAGGTTTGCTATATGTTGCTAATAGTCAGAATAAAGTCATTTAAAAGATATTTAATAGTGAAGCAATCCGAGAATATAAAAATATATTTTTTTGTTTCTTTTCTTACAAAATGCTTAATTTCTTCCTGCGATGTTCCATCCTGCTCATCTGTGCTCAGCGGATGTATTTGGTAGGTGGATCTTCACGCTGACACGTCTTCATTTGTAATGTTTTTCTTTGTCACGTCTTTTTTTACAGTATGTAGACAAAAATACTTACTGTAGCTTATTTATTGTCATTGTCTCTTTTGCAGTTTCATTTTTTATGTTTAACCTTAAGATGGTTTTATTACGTAAGTTCTATGAATAAGTCTTTAACTCATGTTGACAATATTACAGCGGGGGGAGGTGAAACATCTATAAATATATCAACAGTTTATAAGACTAAAGTCTAAAAAAAATGCTGTCACCAACATCTCTGTAACTCTGTCAACTGTTTGGTTTTCGAAAAATCCAGCCCTCTTTAATTCTCCCGAAATGTGTTCTCATGCTCTTTAAATGTTTGTGTGACTCACCAAACCAAGAGCCYGAACACAACAAAGAGCAGTCCAATGCTAAAAAAAAGAATCTTTAAAGAAGGATTTTAATGACATGTCCAATAAAACTGAACACAACTTTGTAAGTCGGTGACACAAACACAAAAACACTTAAATCAGCACATCCTACTGGAAAAMATGCTCTCATAGAGCTTTACTGTTCAGTTATATCCAGCTGATAGTTTATTATAGAGAAATCAATAAATGGCTGACATGTTACAGGAAATGCCAGATGTTTTTGAATCATTCAGAAGAAAAATAAAACTCAGCGACTTTAAATCAACCTCCTTCAGGTTGTTTCTTTCACCCTTATACCTGCATTCAAATGTTAAATGGTTCATTTTTTACAGCATCCAACCATTTCTATGATGGTGTACCACAGGGTTCTGTGCTCGGAACCCTTCTCTTTATTTAATACACCTATTTCCCAGGTTCAGTCAAAGGTTATGCAGATGACACCCATCTGTCTGTCTTTTCTGTTAGGAAATGATTCAGCAGAAAYCCATTTAAGGCTCAGTTATGGTCTCATTTTTGAGTATTGCGCAGGGCTCAGCTGATGGCGTGGGCACCCTCACAATGGGTGTAGGCGTTTATACTTAGCGCTTACGTTGGTGCGGTATTCTCCGAAAGAAAATGTGGCAGTGAAAGGTAAAAAAAAAGGGAGAAAAATTCTTGATGGACAAATGCAGTATTTGAATGGAGTACAGATTTAGAAAAAAATGGAGGTRCATGACCAGGCACTGCGACACCGCACGGGGCCAACATTCAGGGGCAAGSATGGCGMRATTGCRWCACTGTTGGCACTCGCACCTTTGTGTTGCGTCCAACATGTCAGCTTTAAACCTAGCTTTATTCAACATGTTTACATAGATAAAGAAATGCCAACTTCACTGAAACACTTGAAACCTAAAGTTGATGATAAATCAAATAGGTACAGTAATAATTCAACTAGTGCAAGAACTCTTTTTCAGACATTTGATGAGTTTCCAGACTAGAAACAACCAAAAGGTTTCAGACTAAATGTATTTTCTTCCACACATATAGGTTTTGTTTGTATAAAAGGCTCTAAAATGAGATTTATTATGATTCAAATCTAAGGCTTTTTGTTGCTGCTAACAAAGCTAGCGATGGCTTCTAGCTTTGATTCTCCACAAATAAACAAACAGAACCTCGGACTGACCCCAGAGGAACCTCAGATGCGGTTGAGCTTCTTTGATTCTCAGCCTCTCTCAGCCTGTTATTAGTGCATGGGAAAAAARGAAAATTCCCTATGTGCTGGTATGAAATGTCAGAAGAGAAGGGTACAGAGAGTTTCAAAGAAGGGAAGTAGTAGGAGGAACTTGTGCTGGAATGAAATGAATGTCGTGAGATAAGGATTGAAGAAAGTAAGTAAAATGCAATAAAAACGTTTGAGTTGCAGCTAATTTTATGAGAAGGGATCAGAAGAGATCCAATGAACGAAACAAAATATTTAAACTAAACTTTTTACAGGTTTTATTCATTAAATGGGGAAATAAATGTGAAGCAGAAATGTTGAAACTTAAAAAAAACAAGTAAGCCCGAGTGACCTTAAATGATGAGCTTCAGTTCCAACGCAACAGTTTGCCATATTTAAGCAGAAAAAGCAACTGCTTGTATGAATTTTAGTCTAAATAGAATAAATGGGTTTTTGATTGGCTGGAGACAGCAAAAAGCAAGAGTAAAAGGATAGTAAAAGAGAAAATTAGGGTTTTCTAGTAGCAATTAAACATGAATCATCTTCTTTAGGCATCATGTTGCTTAAATTATACGAGAAACCAGGAACTCTGTTCCCATCTCTTGAAACAAGTCTTCTTCGTTTTATCGCTGAAGCGTCTGCCAGGAGAAGTTTAGTCAGGAGATGAAGCTGTCWTCAGTCTATCAAACTGACCACAGTCGCTCGCCTGGAATCCCACGGGAGAAATAAAGGGCTATAATTGTGTGTTTACATCTCAAATAGAGAACATGGGACTGCTAAACATTTGAGTACAAAAAAAGAAAAGAAAAGAAACTTCAAGTATTTACAAAGACAAAAAAGAAATGCAGTGATTGGTTGTAATTAAATGAGTGGAATAAATGCGGCTGCCAACAGCGCTGCCTCTCTGGGCTCCAGGAAACTGTGACAGGCTTTTTGTTTTTCCCTCTAACATCTTATTGTCAACAAACCTATAAAAACTCTGAGAGAAACACAGTCAGACTACATCACACACTTTCAGACTTGTCTATCCTGACTCTGGCTTTCACTTCATATATCAATGCACAAATATGAAC